TCAACAGGAAAGTCACAGAACCTCACCGGGCAGGAAAGTACCCCCAGTTCGAGTTGATGGGTGACCACCTGTACACATTGACCATGACCCACAGACCCAAGAAATCTGGGCTCAGTTGGTGGTGCCGTCCTGCGACTCACCCATGATGTCCCTGCCACAGACATCTGGGCCATGAGAAAACAATGGCCCAAGTTCTGGCCCAGTTTTTCTGGCTGGGGGTGCACCGAGAAGTTAGAGACTTTTGTCATTCCTGTCCAGAGTGCCAGCTCGCCACCCCGCAAGGAGTACCAAAGGCCTCTCTTGTCCCACTCCCATTAATGGGAACCCCCTTTGAGACGGTTGCCATGACCGGGTGGGGCCCCTCACAAAAAGCGTCACCAGGTTCAAGTACATCTTGGTGGTCCTGCACTACGCCACCTGATTCCCGGAGGCAGTTTCCCCTCAGGAACACTAAAATGCGAACCATCGCCTTGGAGCTGCTCAAGTTCTTTGTCCGAGTAGGCCTTCCCCGGGAACTCTTGACAGACCAGGGAATGAACTTTACATTGTAGCTGTTCCACCAGGTCTGTGACTTACTAGGGATTAAAAAACTTGGGACCTCCGTCTATCAGCTGCAGACTGACGACTTAGCGGAGTGCTTCACAGGACCCTCAAGGGTATGTTGTATAAATTTTCCCCAAAGGAGCTCCGATATTTGGACCAACTCATCCCAACACTACTACTTGCTATCCGGGAGGATCCCCAGTCATCGATACGGTTCTCCCCCTTTTGAACTATTGCAGCGGCCGCAGGGACTTCTGGACCTCATGCAGGAGAGCGGGGAACAGGTACTATCCCTGTAGAAGGGCCTCCTACAGTACGTCTTGCAGCTGCAAGAGCAACTGGAGAGAGAAGGGGCCCTAGCGAGGGAAAATTCATGCAGCGCACAGAAGGTCCAGGAGCAAACATACAACAAGGGAGCCCCCAGAAAACCTTCTAACCCAGCGAGAGGGTCATGCTCCGGCTCACCTCAGTGGAATCAAATCTACTGCCTCAGTGGCTGGGGCCCTATGAGATTATCCGCTGGGTAGGGCCGGTCACCTTCAAAATCTAGCAGCCGGACAGCAAAAAGAAACCAAACAGCAAAAAGAGAGGGAGGTCTACCATGTAAATCTCCTCAAGCTGTGGAGGGAGCAAGAGGAGCTGCAGACTGGTACCACCCCAGAGGCACTGGTGGTGCCAGCCCAACTGAGCTCCATCCCAGCTTGATGAGGGGAATCAGGCGGATCTCCTGAAGGGCAGGGGACAGCCTTGTTCCAGCAAAACTCTTGTCTCCCATCACCCCAGCTCCCTCCCGGCCCACCTACATGCTGGGATAGTGCTGCCCTTACCCAGGGTTGAGCCGCCAAAGGTGGACTCCATGGTGTAGCTGTTGGGGATTCCCATCCTCCACATCACAATCCGGCCCGTCCCTTCTTTACTCTTCTGGACCTTAAACTTACAGCTGCGGAAAGAAAACTACAACGCCCCGGGTGGCTCAGCGCGGTGATGGGGCAGAAAGAGATCCTGGCTGTACCCCAAGGTGGGACTGCTCCCGACAGACAACCCCTTTTCCAGGGCTCCCCACGTCCCAACCGGGGGGGCCTTCCTCATTTCCCTTGGGGACATTATTCCACAGTCAACAGCCCCCTCAGCATTAGGAAGCCCACTCATTCCTTGCACAGCACCCTCCTGTTTCTCCTAATTTCGGTGCCTTTTGGCCACGGCACACTAGCAGGCTGGGGTAGCAACACCGGCATTAAGATTTACTGTAACTACCCCGCCAGCACTCGCCTCTTAGCACAACTTTGTCCCTCGCCTCATTCTTGGAAACTGCGGAACAATTTTTGCTGAAACAATCCAAAAAATTCCACCCAAGACGGAGAGCTGCCAGGCCACGTTCCATCCCCAGTGGCTAAAACTTGGAAAAATGATACCCAGCTGAAAACCAGGGGTTGGAATGGGACGGGTTTGGGAACCTCCACTGAGGGTATGTAGGCAAACACGCTTCCTACAGAAACACTAGGGAGGGGATCCTGGCTCCCCAAAGCCAAGGGGAGCTTTGCCTCTGATGTCCATGGGGCCAGGGCATTCCATGCTCAAAGATGAAAACTCTAAAGGGAGGAAGTGCCAGATTAAAGGTTGCCTGTGCGCCCTTCGCCCCGCCCCCCGTGCAGATTCAGTCCCTGGCTGTACATACAGTGGTAACTGGGGGGTTGCATACTGCGTTTTCCACAGGAGCCCTGGCCCTAGGTCCCTCACCCTTGTGCTCTTGGGGAGCCTGCGCTCTGCACTATAGGTGCAGCTCTGTTGTGCCCCTGAACAGAGCACCAAAGCCTTCCTGGCTCCATGATGTGATTTTCCCCCCACCCTCCAACAGCTGGCACATGAGCAGCTGGCTCACCTGGCCCCGAGAGGCTCCAGGCAAAACTGGGACTCATACGCGGAGATGCCCAGGCCTTGCAGCCAGGTCCCCACCCAGCCCATGGCGGCCAGTGAGGGGCTCCAAGAGCAGAGACGAGGCTTCTCCTCTGAGCCCCTTCCCCCTTCCTGTGGGCTGCTCCCACACCCACCTTGTCAGGGGCGTTTTTGCTGAGCATGAGTGGGAAGACGCGCTCGTGGAGCCGCTGGGCAGGAGCGCTCTTGTTGTTGCAGCCGTACATGAAGACGTTGTTCTTGCGGCTGTGCCCATGGAAGTCACAATACAGCAGAACCTCCCGCTCCTCCAGGACTCTGCACAAAGGAAGAAATCCTGAGCCAATTACACGCATGTACGGATGCAGGAATCATAGGATCATAGACTATCAGGGTTGGAAGGGAGCTCAGGAGGTCATCTAGTCCAACCCCCTGCTCAAAGCAGGACCAATCCCCATGTATGTAATCACACATGGGCCACAGACCGTATCACAGACTTCTGCTTGATTCAGGAGGAAATTAACACTCCATCTCAAAGGCACAGAGCTACATAAAATCTGTCCCGTGGGGGATGACACTTCTCAGGCCTGGGCTCTGCAAAGTTTATTCTGGCAAAGTTTGTACCCAGCCAGTTTTGAGCTGCAAAAATGTGTGGAGGGGAGAGTTCTGCTTCAGAAGTCATTCAGGGTATGTCTAGACATCGGGACTGGCCTGTTCCAGCTCACTCAGGCTCACAGGGCTTGGGCTAAGGGGCTGTTTAATTGCAGCATAGACATTATATAGCGCATACTAACGAATCTCAATGAGAGACTCGCATTGATTGACAGTTGCAAACGACCTGCCCCAACTACTGCAGGAGCAGCTACTTCACTGTATGACTCTGACGGAGTGGCCTCCTGCTGTAATTTATACTGCGTAAGAAACATTAATCCTGTTCTAGTGCAGCCTTCAGTTTGGTGTATTTTTCATCCTAGCCAAATTATGTATTTCAAATTAGAAAGAACAGATGCTAAAAGCTAATAAGCTGAAAATCAAAGCCTGCTTTATCGCTGTTAAACCCTGCTTGTTTTAGTCAATTAAGGAAGCACCCGCTACGTTCTGTCGTTTGGGGCTGAGGTTACAACGACGCATTTCATTTTTTTTTTAAAGTAAATTAATAAAGGTGACACTTGTACTGGGATCTGTTAATAAAACTAGACCAATGGGTGCAAAAGGGAACAGAACACCTGACTGTGAATTCAGAGCTAAAGGGAAATTGGAGCAGTTATCACATTTGATGCAAAAGTGAAGTGGTATCATTTGAGAATCATCACAGAATAACTAGGGAGAGGAGGAGAGAAGCTTCTGGGTTAGAGGGGACTCCGGGAAACACAATAATTAATCATAAATCCTAGGTTTTATCCCGCACTTTTCATCAGTAGATCTCAAAGCGCTTTGCAGAGCAGGTCAGTCTCATTACCCATCTTTACAGGTGGGGAAACTGAGGCACAGAGCGGGGAAGTGACTTGCTGAGGGTCACCCATCAGGCCAGTGGCAGAGCCAGGAATAGACCCCAGGTCTCCTGAGTCTCAGATCAGTGCTCTAGCCACTAGGCAGCACTGCTTCTCTAAAAGTAGAATTCAGTTAAAAATTGGCCGACCCACACAGCAGCACTACTGACATCCGTGACAGTTTACACCAGCAGACCACCTGGCCCCTGAGTTCACATACCGCTGACCAGCCCTGGGTAGGTTTGCTACCGTTGCACATTATAACATTTCTATTATTCATTTTTTTTTAAATTAGGGAACATAAAAAAATAAATTCAAAGAACATTACTAAGGCTGCAAAGTCAAGTGGAGAAAAGTTAGGAGATGCCAGAATTAAGCCTGCCTGTGCAACCTTAACTCTGCCCCCCCCTTGTGCATCAATAATTACATGATCACATGCTGTTTTTTCCACAGGGCTCCTGCCTCATTCAGTGCACAGGACGGACTGCATTCAGGCCTGTGCAGCGAAGGAGGCTGTTGTCTGTAGCACCCTACCCCATTTGCTGCAGATGTTTGAGTGTGTGTCCGGAATGAGGCAGGGCACTGCAGGAAGGAAAAGGAGAGTCTTGCAAAGGAGCTGGATTCTCCCTGGCTGGGCAAGCCACTTTCACCAACATTTCTGCAGGTGATCATTAATTGCGCGTTCTCCATTTTCTGGTTGTCCAGACGGGGACACCTCAGGGCTAGTTTTTTAGAGAGCTGAGCACTCGCACTGCAACGGTTTGTCATAGGGAGCTGTGGGTGCTCAGCTCAAGTTTGGCACCCAAACCTAACGACCAGTTTCGCCCATATTGGCCTTCATCTCTGTGTGCCTCCGTTTCCCCATTTGTACAATGAGGGTGATAATACCACTCGCCAGAGAGATGTGAAGGTAAATTCATTACAGTTTGCAAGGCCCAGTGATGAGCATAACAGAACACGGATATGCAGTGAGTAGTGTGCCCCTTTGTGAGTTTGCATTTTCGATAACACCCTTAATTGAGGCCTTTCCTTGTTTGAGACTGAGTGACTTTGCAGCATTAATAATCGTCTCTTAACTTGGATGGTTATGTATGCGCTTTCTCTCTCTCTGTCTATATATTTATAATGATCTCTCACTCTTACCTAGCACATTCCGTCTGTAAATCTCAACGCACTTTACAAAGGGGGTCAAGATCATTCTCCCCATTTTACAGAGGGGGGAACTGAGGCACAAAGCGAGGAAATGATTTTGCCCAAGGGTATTCAGCAGGGCTAGTGACAGAACCAGGAATAGAGCCCAGTTCTCAAGTCACAGTCCAGTGCTCTACCACTAGGCCACGCTGCCTCTAATCAATGGTCTTCTCTTTACCGTGCTACGTTTTGGTGGCCTAGCAGCTCTGTGCTACACACCGAGGTCAATGAGCCCTGCTCCTCACCTCTGGATCATGCTCCGGGTGTGCCAGATGCAAGGGAAGGACTCCTTCAGGACGGTTCGATAGCTGCGGTTGAGATCTCTCCCGGCCAGCGAGCAGCGGTAGTTCCCCACGATCACCCCGTCTGGGTTGAGCATGGGCACCACCTTGAATATGAAGAGCTCGCGGAGGAGCTGGGCATCAGGGGAGTCACTCAGGATGAAGTCCAGGAAACCCCTCATCACCCACGAGCCGTTGGTCTCCCCAGGGTGCACCCTGGCGCTCAGCACCACAGCCTTCTTGGCGGCAGTGGCACCGGGGTTTTGGGACGGGCTGGTGATGGTGAGAAGGTAGACAGTGTTGCCGGCCAGACTGCTGCACAGGACCCGCGGCTTGCAGTACTGCGAGCGGACCGGGTCGCTGGCCACTGCCAACAGGTAGCGCTGCAGGTCCGAGAAGGTGTAGGGGTAAAAGTGGGCAAAGTAGCAGGTGTCATGGTCATGGGGGAAGCACGCCGTCCACGTGAGACAATACATCGCCTGGCCCTCCTCGGAGCTGCACCGGTAGTACCGGATGTCGCCCCCCTCTCTCCGCCAGCCCACGCCACGCGTCTGTGCGTCCCTCTCAGAGTACAGGAGCGGCTTCATCCCCATGCTGTACAGGCTCTTGGGCTTCATCAGGTTGACAATGGAGAAGCGGTAGGGGATGCCTTTCCTGGTGTTCCTGACCCGGAAGTAGAACCACTGGGTGTGCTTGCTGGTGTACAGGTCCATGCGCAGCGTCAGCTCGTATTCGTACGGGCCTCTGCAAGGAGGAAAGAGAAAATAACACCCAGAGCAACTTCTCCCTTCACACGCATCTGTGTGAAGGACAGGAAAGGCCACAGACAGACCTGCTCTGTGCACATCAGCAGCCGGGCTATTGGGCTCTGCTGGAGGGGTGTTAGATATTTTGATTCAAACAGCATTCCCTAGTTACACCTGTAGTGTTGTGAAAACGGAGTTAAAATTATAAGCCACCACTCTAAATTTCAGGGAGTTTCCTGGTCCTGCTTGCAAGCTAGGGGACGCTATATGGAAGTGTGCAATCTGGTCTTTCAGCAGTCAGTCAGCAGAGATCCAGCCTAGAGTAAGGAGGGATGAGTTGGACCTCTCTGCCTTAGGGAGCAGCCTGCTTTGTCTCTCTCTGCTTTTGTATGGTGCCATTCTGGATTCTAAGCAATAAAGTCATGTTACGTTGCAACCGTCCAACAAGAGGATTGATGTTTCTATCCAACTTCTCTTTGTGTAGGCCATGAACAAAGACTGAAATTCCCCTCATCCCTCAACAGCGCGCTGCTCTGTGCTAGGGAATAGGTCTTTGTTCCTAGCATTCATTACATGCAATGATATGCAAAGAGCTTAGTTAAAAGGACATTCTTTAAATGGCAACTCCAGCCCTAGATCATTAGGAAATACCAGCTTCACACATGTCCGAGCAATCTGACCTCTGCCTCATTATGTATGAGCACCTGCTATTTTCCCCACAGGATGACCCATCTCAGTCAGTGCATAGGATGGCTCCTAAGCTTCCCTTCCCAGAGCCCCTGGTGCACAGGACACGGTGGCAGAGGTATTGGGACTGTTGCTAGTTGGCACAAAGTAGAGCAACTCCCAGGCTGCTCTAACCTGGGCCGGGACAGAGAATCCTCCTTCCCCCCTCATGGGGGCTGTGGGGGAGGGGAGCCTCTAGGCTCAAGCCTGGCCCGTCAAGCTCAGTACCTGTTCCCCCAGCCTGGCAGAGGGGCTGGTGATGGGGCAGCCAAATCTCCTCCCCTGTGATGCAGCAGGCAACCACTGGGGGAGCTGCAGCAGAGAAGGGACAGATTCTGCTCAGTGCGCTCCCAAAGCTGGGGGAGGCACTGCCCCCTCCCTGCTCTCTGGGAGGGGGCTGATCCAAACACTTTGTGGACATCGTCCCAGTGAGGCACATCTTCAGTTCCTCTCCTAATGCCCCATCCTACTTAACACAGCCGCCCCCCAGGGCCATCCCAGCTCCCCCTTCACCTGCCCTCCATGGAGGGCCTGGACCGGGCACCCTGGCTTAGCTGGAAAGCTCCCTCTCCCCTGCCTGCCGTGGACAGTGTCCCACATCCTCTGCCCGCTGCCCTCTCACTCACACTCGGACGGCCTTCTGGAGGTTCCCGCTCTCGAATCTGGATTCAAAGAGCAGGGTGGTGTCCTCTGGACCTTCCAAGCTGACGGCGGGTGAGGTGATGGGCCCTCGCGCGCCTCCAACGCGGGAGCAGGTGAAATAGGAGCCTTTGGCCGCTGCCGGGAGAGGAGATGCCCTTGTCACACTTGCAGCCGGTGCTAGACCCAGCTCCCTGCTCCTTGTGGCATGGCCCTCGTTTGGAATCCCACTGCTCTCCGCTGCAGGGCGGGGAATTTGCTCTCCCAGCGACTCAGGCTCTGCCCCAGACCAAGGCAGGGAACCTCTGTGCTGCAAGTGCCCAAAGCACCCCCCCACTACTGAGCAAACACCCCGCTGCCGCTGAACCTCTCCTGCTTCATGCCCCCTCGCCCTCAGGTATTCTTCCCCCACACACAAGACAGCCTCCTCACTGCCTTCGCTGGGCTCCGTGGGCGGCAGCCTGGAATCCCCAAGCCCTGATTAGGGAGTGCCAATAATAATGACCCCTAGCTTTCCATCCCTAGATCTCAGAGCTCCTCCCAGAGCAGGTCAGTATTCTATCCCCATTTCACGGAGTGAGGAACTGGCACAGGGAGGTGACGTGACTTGCCTAAGGTCACCCAGCAGGCCAGGGAACAGAACCCAGGTCTCCTGAGTCCTGCTCCAGTGCTCTATCTGCTGGGAGACGCTGCCTCTCCTGCTGATGCTCGCTGCCGGGATGAGAGTGGATGGTGGTGTGCCAGTAGCACATTGGCCCCTGCTCTCAGGATTGGAGAGAGCACAGAGAGGTGGAGACAGAGCGTGGGCCTGCTGCCGCGCCCACCTCCACGGCTTGGCCTGCACGCCGCCAGGGCAGGATCGGGATCCTGGTCTGAGCATCTGCCCCGTGGGCTGCAGGAAATGGGACTTACACACCAGGCACAGAAACATCCCTGTTATGATGTGTCTGCACCAGGGATATATCTACACAGCAAAAAATACCCACGGCGGCGAGTCTCAGAGCCTGGGTCAAGCGATTTGGAGCAGTGTAGATGTTCCCACTCGGGCTGGAGACGGGCTCCAAGACCCTCCCCCCTTGCCAGGTTTCACAGCCCCAGCTCCAGCCCATGTGGGAACATCTACACCACTGTTTTTAGTCCCGAAGCGCGAGCCCCGCAAGCCCGAGTCAGGTGACCCAGGTTCTGAGATTCACTGCTGCGGGGCTTCTTCTTGCTGAGTAGACGTACGCTAAGAGCTCCGAGCCGAAGGGGCAGCATGGCTCCATGAAGGATTGTGTGTGGCCACGACTCACTGGAGCATTAGGTTCAGCACTGAGCAGCCGCCAGGCCTAAGGACCAGCCCCCAAAGATGGCCACATTTAGGCTTGGTCCACACTTTAAAGTTACATGGGCGTAGCTACAGCAGTCAGCAGTGGGAGAAAACCACAGCCCTGCCCGACATAGCTGTGCCGACAACAGCAGCGACACCGAGGGAAGACGGCTTCTGCCGATACAGCTAATGTTGTTTGGGGAAGGGGTATTCCTGCACCGACAGAAAAACTCCTTCTGTCAGGGTAGGCTACACCTCCGCTAGGGGGCTACACTTGCATAGCTACGCTGGCATAGGCTCTAGTGTAGACATAGCCAAAGAGTATGTCCATACTGGAGCTGGAGGTGTAATTTCCACCCCGGATAGCGATACCCACGCTAGTGTGGATCACACCTCCAGCTCCTGTGTAGATGTACCCCAAGTACCCACTGTTAGGTCAGGCATGTCACGCAGGGCAGCTCTAAGCTGGGAACAAAAAGGTTAAGGAGAGTTCACTGGGAGGGCAGGGCTGGTTCACTGGAACTGGGTGTCCAAGAGCCATGCTTGCTGAAGGAGCAGAGGTGGTAAAGAACACCCTACGTGCCCACGGGAGCCATCGTGAGTGCCCTTGGGGACACCTGGCTGCTGCCCAATCTCAGCCTCTCTCCTAGGAGATGGTTAGAAAACCAGTAAGACACTTGGGCCCTGCTAACTGTAGGCTGCTGGGCAGTGACTGTTGGCCATTTCCTATCTTACAGATCCAGCAAGCCGCTTATGAGCTGAGATCTCCAGAATCTGCCTCCTGCTGCAGGACAACAGATCAGAATTCAACTCCTCGACAGAGACACATCAGGCTGTGGGATCGCTCCTGTAGGGAAGGGGTGGGAGCCGCATTGCCAGGGACATTCGCCGCTAGAAAACATAGCACAGGGAACACTCCTGTATTGGGACCTCTGGGTCTTTCCCACCCCAGCGGTGATCTGGGGATGAGGCGTGCTCTGGAAAAGCCAGCGTTCAGTCATTTATAGAGACCTCAGCCATTGAGATCCAGCCCATTCAAGTTTTATGGTTTGACCAACGATTTCCCAATTAACGCCCAGTTGGCTTCATTGGGTTTTGGATCTAGCCCTGGGTTATTTTCATGTCTCACGCGCTGGAGATGAGAATTGTGCAGATCAGTCACCCGAAGTGTAGAGCAAGACTTCCTGTGTGCGGCCAGAACGCCCGAGCGTTTCATGTCAAAACAGGGCGCTCTCGTCCCACTCTGTGTCGGAACCAGAGAGGAAACGATGCCTTGCAGCCAGTGTTCTCAGAGACCAGCCAGGCGCGGCTCAGCCCTGCCCCAGAGCAGGCCTGAAAGGGGCTTTACAGACACCTGGATTCCACGCCCAGGTTATCAGTGTTGTCAGTGCATGAGCACATACCTGGCTTTATGTGATAGACCACGGTTCCTTTCTCCTCCCCCACAATTAGTGGGGCCGGCTCAGTTCCTGTGGGCTGATAGAATGGCTCCGGTTCAGACGGCACCCACTCTGAGGAGACAGGGGGAACGGTTCCAGTTATTATTGCAGGGGTTTCAGATGGGAACCTGCCCCACAGGGTAAAGAAAAGCGCTCTCCTGAAAAGAGCTCTGAAGTCCCTGTGCCATTAGTAATAGAGCGAAAGGCATGGCCCTCCCCACATGTTCATTCCCAGCCAGTGTCCTCTCTTCCACACCGACAAGCCGGGGAGCCTGTGATTTTTAATAGTCCAGTGGGGGGGGGCGGGCTGTGTTGGGAAGGAGACTGACTGGGTAGAGTAAATCTGCTCTGAAGGGGAAGCACCTGGGCAGTGACAGAACAGCCTGGTTTCAGACCCAGCCAGTCCCCTTTTGAAGATGTGACAGTCAATCGTTCTCCACAGAGTTTTGGAGTTAAGGGGGCAGCCTCACTGCCCTGTCCTGTCTGCTCGCACCTTTCCTGGGTGTCATCCCCCAGACTCACCTGTGGGAAAAGCAGGAAACGCCCATTTCAAGTCCCCCACAAGAACGGGAGACCCCCAAGGGCCAACAAATACTGGCTGGAAAGTTCTGTGCAGACTGCGCCGCTTGGACTGCTGCAGAGGCAGAGAATTCTGGGTAATGCTGGGCCTTAGCCACGTCTCTCCCAAGTGCTGACCAGCCTCCCCGTGCCACAGAGCCCAGCTTAACCCAACATGAAACGATTCATTACACGGAGGGAGAAGTAGTCTGGTTTCTAGTGCCACGATTACTCCACTAGGCCCCACTGGCTGGCTGGGAGGCAGACACAGCACTCTGACCTCTGGGCACCACATTCCCTGGCAGGGACTGAAAAACAAAGTGGAGCCAGAGGAGAGAAGCAAGAAAAAGATGAGCCGGCAAGGGGAGCTAAGCAAATCCAAAGGCAGGGGAGCGTTCTGTCTACAAGCCGCTGCTGGGTGGATCCATCCCGGAAAAAGGGATTCCGGAGAATAGGGAAGCTTGAGGAGCAATGGCAGAAAGGGACATGCTGGACTGAATGTCGGGGCGATGACAGCGAGATGCACTAGGCCATGGAACCGTCTGTAAAGAGAACTGGGGGAGTCTCGGTGCTGGGGACTCTAACTAGACACAACGATGAGAGAGAAACGAATGGATCTCTTGGCCAAAGTGCACCTGGACAGGTACAGGTTTTCAGCAAGGCTCTAGGGCTCTCTCAAGGGGGTGGAATTTTATTCTTCCCAAAGGAATTGAAGACTTGTGTGGGTGCCTTGTGGAATGAAGCCTGGCAGGTCTGGGCAATTCGCTGGGCAGGGTTGCACGGGTTAATGTTACCTGGTTAGCCATTAACGCAATTGACCAGGCTCCCATGGGCTCACCATTCAAGTGTGAAACCTCACTGCAGCCTGTTGGGGACCCTGTCAATTGCCCCAGAAGCTCCCAGACCTCCCCGAGAGCTCCTGATCCACGTGCTTATGCAACAGGTGCAATCCCACTTGCCCATCCCGAGTCAGACCCCCAAAATCATGAGATTGGCTTAAAAATCATGACATTTGACAACCTCCTCCACTTGGGGCTCTTGTTATCTAACATCTGGTGTCAGCGCTGTCCGGGGTCACAGTCTAAAGCTTTTCTCTGCGACCATGAGGGTTACGAGCATCCTTTATTAAAATGAATGCTGAGCTTCTCATGCAGTCATGTGATTCCAGGAGCTGGAGTTTTAGGAAAGACACAGTCCATTGCAGGAGCTGGTAACATTGCTAGCGCCAGACCCTGACAGGCTGGGGAGCTCCCGGCAGCCCCACACGGGACAGGGGCAGTGACACACACGGGGCTCCGGTTACCGATACCCTGACGGGCTGGGGAGCTCCCGGCAGCCCCACACGGGACAGGGGCAGTGACACACACGGGGCTCTGGTTACCGATGCCCTGACGGGCTGGGGAGCTCCCGGCAGCCCCACACGGGCCAGAGGCAGTGACACACACACGGGGCTCTGGTTACTGATGCCCTGACGGGCTGGGGAGCTCCCAGCAGCCCCACACGGGACAGGGGCAGTGACACACACACGGGGCTCCGGTTACCGATGCCCTGACGGGCTGGGGAGCTCCCAGCAGCCCCACATGGGACAGGGGCAGTGACACACACACGGGGCTCTGGTTACCGATGCCCTGACGGGCTGGGGAGCTCCCGGCAGCCCCACACGGGACAGGGGCAGTGACACACACGGGGCTCCGGTTACCAATGTGCTGGATTTGCTCCTTGATGACTTCGCACTCCACTGGCCAGCGTGGGGCCTGCAGGGGGCCTCTCGAGGTGGGCACAGCAAAGAGACCGCGTGGCTCCCGCAGGCGTGGGACCCCAGGGCCCTCAAGGTGATTGAACAGAAGCTGTTTGCTCTTGAGAAGTGCGGCCTCCAGCATATGAGAGCCTGCAAAGAGAACAGGCACAGGCACTAGGGACTCTGCAGAATGGTGCATGGCCGGACGCCCCGATTTCATGGTGCACACACACAGCAGAGCCTCGGCTCTGGCACTGCTAGGAAAAGGCTCGTGCAGCAGGACACAAACATACCTGGCACCCGTGTCTCAGCAGCAGCAGACTCTGCCAACCAGGCGGAGGTACAGTACCTGCCACGGCCAGTGGGCTATAGAAATGAGCACCGCCCAGCACTCCCGGGGACGTGCTGCCTAGGGCAACGTAACCAGTGGGCTAGGAGAACTGGTACCAGCTGCTCTTCAGTGGACATAGTGGAGAGGGCCTGGCTGTGGCTCTGTGATTCAGGGCCACTCGGCCACAGGACACACCAGAGTTGCATGGGGGCAGCTGTAGCTTGGCTACTTGTGGAAGGTCTCTCAGGGAGTGTATCCCAATGGAGGATTAAGCCCACTGGAGCATCCCTCTGCCTGCCCGGCCCCGGGGACGCCCTTCTCCCTTCCTAGGGCTTGGGGGAGCTGGCTGGCCTGAGTCTGCAGAGCCACCTGCACCAGCAGAGCCCCCTGGCATACATTCAAGGCGGCAGGGTTTGGCTTGCTCAGGAAACCTTAATTCTGACTCTCCTAGCTGTGAAGGGCTGCACTTTGCCACTGGACATTGTGTGTCCATTGATAAATATATTATCTTCGACTGGCTCACAAAGGGTTTGCCCCCCGTAAAGCCATTGTGCTCTATGCTTTGGGGGGCAGTAGCTCCCAGGGGCCCAGCCACAGCCCAGCACCCCACTGGGCTGGCTGCTGTGCAGACACAGAACAGTCCCGTGTCACAGAGCTGTGCAGGCCAGCGGCCGACTCCCAGGCCCAGCGCTGGGCGCATTAGTAGTGTCGCCACCGAGTATCAACTTTAATCTATTGCATTTTTAATGAACTTTCTATTAACAGGATCTCCAAAGCAGCTTTGCCTTTGGGGCGTTAAGCCAGACGGCCCTCCCTGCCCCCAGTCCAGCCACAAGGTGACAGCCCGGCCAGTTCCCACTGTGTGTTGCGAGGCCCTCACTGACAGGGAGGGAGTGTGAGCACGAGATGTGGGAATGAGCAGGGCACAATGACACTGTTATCGGCCTAAAGGCAATGGGCTCAAGGCAGGCCAGGGGGAGTGGCGAGGCCTTACCTGCCAGAGAGCCATCTGCAACCCACTGGCCGTTTCCCCAGGGTAGGGCTGGAGGGAGGCTGCTTTTGTGGGAGCAAGTGGCCTTGCAGTTTAAGACAGAGGCTCCCAGAAGTGAACCCAAGGCTAAGCCTGGCTACACTCACCCAGGACCAGACTATGCAGCTGGGGTACAAACCCCAACTGGATCCTGCTCCCTGAAAAAGAGCTCTGGGAGGGACAGTGGGGCATTGCTGGCTCCAATGGCAACCCAAACAAGCCAGGTGAGTGAGGAAGAAGTGGGCTCCTAGTTGGGTCATCCTGACAACAACCAAACCACTGATTCCCCCCTTTCCCTTGGCCAGTCCCGGAAAGAGCAGATAGACAGCACAGAGCAACCAGCTGAGCAGGGGACGACACCCACTAGCATGAGCTACAGAACCAGAGAACAGTGCCTGTCTGCTCAGACTGCAGTTCCTGATGGGCTGCGTAGCTCCACAGGCCAAGCCGGCCGCAGAACAGCGTCTTTTCCCAAAGGGGTTTCTTTTTACTTTTGGAGTCTTTTCTAGGATAACTGTGGGGATGCCTGCAACTAACTAACTGTTTGTACCTAACCTTCCCGTGTGCGTATGTGTGTGAAGTAATCGCACCATGCTGCTAAGTCCATATTAGAAAGTCATCACACCTGGATTTACCTAACTCCTAAGCAAGCTCACCCAGATCTCACTATGCCACCCTGGCTCTGTGCAGGTGTTAGCGAAAACCACTCTGCCTGAGAGGGGAACCTGGGGGCTGGCCCCATCGCACTGACAGGAAGTGGAGAGATTAGTTGAGCAAACCATTGCATTCTTAGTGCTTCAAAGAGAGGCAGCAGAATTTCTAGGGCTAAGAAGGAGGCTGCCCTATGTCGGAGAGTCTAAGGGTCTGTGAATAAGGGTTTGTGGATAAGGCTGTGTTCGGCTGGTTGCATGATGTGACTGACTGCGATCATGCAAGGATTTGATCAATTGTTGATCTCAATCTATTTTCGTGTCACAGTTATTCATTCCCACTTATGCTATTGGTAGTTCCTTGATGAAGCCATCAGATCCCCACTGGAACCCGCATTCGATTGCTGCATTGGTGAGCGTTGCAGGGAAGTACAGCAAATTCGTTAGCTTTACGTTTTCTTGTTTGTGTTCTCAGTAAAATTCATAAAAAGGACAGCGGATTGGTTTTCTCTCACTGAATGGCTGGGAGGCCCAAACAACCTATAAAGGTGTCTGAGAGTCACTAATCTGCACCAGAATTAAACTCCATTATCGCTACACGATATACAGTAGCCATTCTTTGCCAAACCTCCTAAATAGGGTAGACAAGATTTCACAGCCTTGATCAATCTACAGGGAAAAGACAGGCAGAAAACACTGGGTCTTCTTTATGACCTGCCCAAGGAAGGGCCCCTGCCACTGCCCCCACCTTTGCAGATCCCCTTTATAAAGAAACCCTCACTAGAAAAGGGGACAGTGCAATACTGGGGTGAGATCTGGACCTCCCCAACTCTGGATTTTATACAATTTATTCTCCACGCTCCTGGGGCAACCATCCACCTCCCCAGCAGTCCACTAACAGGCCATTCCCTCTCAGCTCGGATAGACTCTGTGTTGCAACAAATCCCATATCTGGGGAGGTTTCTCCCAGCTCTTCAGGGAACACCAGTTGCTCTTCCCCAGATGCATGGTCTTGCAAAGCTTTTAAATAGCGCTAGCTCACTCTGATGTCATCTGTTCCTTTACTTAGCCAAGGTGCAATCCCCAGCAGTGTGTTCTATGAAGTGATGTTCATAATCTCTGGGTGAGGGTTGCTCTATGGTTCCCCAGCTAGCCCACTAACATGGGTGTTTACAGCTCACACGTTTGCTGTGGACCCAATCCTCCCCCTCCGTCCCGCCCCTGCTGTCTCTTTCCAACCTAACGCAGCCCCTGAGTTGCAGAGAGCGGCTGAACTGAGCCACTGGCTGTCATGGCCAAAGGAAACCCAGCTCCTCACGCTGAGTAGCTCACTCACAGATCAGCTTCTTCTTGTTATCCTGAAGGGAATCGCGGTTGGATCCTCCACTCTCCTGCTCCAGCAGAGAGTCTGAGCTCTTTGGCCTGTGCTCTCGTGGCACGAGGGAGCTGCTTTCTGCAATTTTCTCCTCATCTAGGAAGGGATGTTGCTGTCAGTGCTGGGGAGCTCCATTTCTTGGGACATTTAAAGCTAGCCTAGCCACTGTGCTGTAGGGAATGATGCAGCACTGCTCCTGGGGGGTGGGCCAGATTGCACCCAGCAGGTCTTCCCACCTACAGCTACCCTGCTTCTGAGCACTAGGGAAAGAAGGGCTAGTGGCTGTAGGATCCTCTCAGGGGATCTCAGTCATTTAACATGAAAAGGCTAGCCAGTCGCCGGGTGCCGGAGGAGGCACTCTGCCCCACTGAGAACAAGTCCCTGGTCCCATGGTTCCCTATAGGCCCAGAAAGAGCCTGCAGTTACTAGAAGCTTGAATACTAGCCAAGGCATATTCCGGCAATACAGGGAGCTATGTGATCAGAGACTCAGTCTTGTCTCAGGAGCAGAGGACTGGGTTCGGATCCTCCAGGATGCAGACTTCGCTCCAGAGCTGCCAACCTTCAAGCGAGACAGTAGGGACACAGCCCACTCCACAATCACACGGGTCTGCCTGCTCCAGCACCAGCCTACCAGAGAGGTTAAAGGCAAAAAGGACCGCGCTGCACTGATCCCCTCCTAACAGCACTCTGCCCAGCCAGTATCACGCACTGCGGCCCTGGCACTCAGCCAGCCGCCTGTTCTCCTTTGGGGGGCGGGTCCGTACATCCACGGGGGAGGGAAAATCTTTGTAAACTGCCTAGCCCTTCAGTTGACAGTGTCCCCTTCCCACAGCTGTCCCAGCATGCTCTGCCTAGTGCAGGATGGCAGTCTAGAGGGAAGGGGGGTGAAACCCAGAGGCATCCAGTGGGCTCTGAGTCACTGTTTGCTGACCAGTGAAACGTCCTGGGCCGGTGAACAGCAAGCTGCCCCAGCTGCTCTTACCTCTGAAGTAGCCATAGTACTGGAGATGGTGATGCATGAAGCTCTCATAGGGGTCTGCGAGCAGCTGGGGAAGGAAAGAGAATGGAAAGTGAGAACCAGGCCCCCATGCCCATAGATCCCAGCACACAGGAATTTAATGAACAAACAGGTCAGAGTGCCCACGGCCAATCCCTTCTAGGCACAGTCCCCCAGTGCCTGCACCTTTACCTGTGCCCGTCCACCCCTGATGCCACCCCTTTTGCCTGGGGCCCCCACTGCTCCGCTCTCCTTGTTGCAGTCCCCAATGGCATGGCCCCATAAGCTGGAAGGATCCCACTCTCCCCCCTAGGCCCAGTTCAGCAGGTCTGGGCTCTGCACTAACCTCAGGGGTTGGCTCCTGGGCTGGACTCATGACAGGCAGCGGTGACAGCTCTGACAGACACTAGAGGGAAGCACAGAAACCAGTCACCAAGGGGGCTGGAAGGGACCTGAAAGCCCCCAGTCCCTGACCAGACACACACCAGGCCTCCCATTCTACCCCTCTCTCCCTCACTCCATGAGGTGAAACCCAACTCTGCACTATCCCACCCGCCCCGTCCCTCACCTGCTCTCTAGACCCTGAGAAACCATCCCAAACCAGGATCCAGGGCAGAATCCTCAGCAGGGCCGGCTCCAGGCACCAGCCTGGCAAGCAGGTGCTTGGGGTGGCCGCTCCGGAGAGTGGCGGCACGTCCAGCTATTCGGCGGACGGTCCCTCACTCCCGCTCAGAACGAAGGACCTTCCCCCGAATTGCCGCCGCAGATCACGATCGCGGCTTTTTTTTTTTTTTTTTTTTGGCTGCTTGGGGCAGCCAAAACCCTGGAGCCGGCCCTGATCCTCAGAGTGGAGGGCTGGTTCCCAGAGATGGGGCGTATCTGCCAGGTTATCAATGATATACACACCCCACACCGCTCATCACGGTCATCGCCTGCCCCACAGGGCTCCGTGCTCCCAGACCCCCAGCACCTCTCCTCTGCACCCCCAGCACCGCTTATCACGGCCATCACCTGCCCCATGGGGCTGCGTGAACCCAGTGCCCGCTCTGTACAGGGCTGCTCCCCAGGCAGCTGACGGTGTGGGGCCAGGGCTGCACTGGAATCACAGGCCATAGATCCTGAGGCAGTCAGACGGCATATGGAAAACAGCACAAACGGCTGTAGGAACACACCCTCCCCTTCACGCCTTGCAGCCCAGACTCCCCCCCCCGAGCTCCCCCTGCTCTAGAGCCAAGGCTGCCCCCAAACTCCCCCTGCTCTAGAGCCCAGCCTGCCCCCTGAGCTCCCCCTGCTCTAGAGCCGAGGCTGCCCCCAAACTCCCCCTGCTCTAGAGCCCAGACTGCCCCCCGAGCTCCCCCTGCTCTAGA